GCAGTGTGGGCCTTTTATCCTCAGAGCTGCAAGGTGGCTACTTCACCTCTAGGCATCAAGTTTGGATTTCAGACAGGAAGAAAGGGCAAAAGACACCAAACGGCTCTTTGCCAGGAAAACAATAGCTTTTGAGGAAGTCCCAGACAGCAGACTTCTGCTCACATGCCACTCCAGCTCCAGGACGTCCAAGGAGGAGAATGTTTTCAACTGGGCACATTGCTGCCCCAGAATGAAATAGAGCTTCTGTTAGAAGGGAAGAAGTGGAGGAAAGTTATTAAGTAGGCCACCAGCAGTATTTCTTACACCACCTAGCACATTTAAACTTTTTTTTTAAAAAGAAAACATTACAAATAACTTACTGTCGCAATTATTTTCCCTAGTTCACACCTTGGAGCTTCTTTATTAAACAACAATAATAAAATTAGTACAGCCATTGTGGAAAATAGTATGGAGTCTCCTCAAAAAATTAAAAATAGAACTTCTACAGGATCCAGCGACCTCACTTCTGGGTAACTATCCAAAGGAAATGAAATCAGTATTTCAAAGGGATATCTGCACCCCCATGTTCATTGCAGCATTATTCATAATAGCCAAGATATGGAAAGAACGTAAGTGTCCATTAATGGGTAAAGATATTGTGGTACACATATATTAATACAATGGAATATTATTCAGCCATAGAAAAGGAAATCTTGCCATTTGCAACAACATGAATGAAACTTGAGGGCATTATGCTAAATGAAATAAGCCAGACACAGAAAGTCAAATACTGTATGATCTTATATGTGGAATCTAAGAAAGTTTAACTCATAAAAGCAGAGATTAGGTAGCATGGTATTGTCAGGGACTGGGGAGTGGGGAAAATGAGTAGATGTTGGTCAAAGCGTATAAACTTTTAATTGCAGATGTTGGTCAAAGGGTATAAACTTTCAGTTATAAGATGAGCAAGTTCTGGGGATCTAATGTAAAACATGGGTGGTGATGTTTTAATTAATCTGATCGTGGTAATCATTACACAAGGTACACATATATCAAATCATCACTTTATTATATACCTTGAATAGAGTCAGTCTTTGTTAGGTAAGTATTTAAATTTAAATATTCAATTAAATATTCAATTAAATCGATTAAATATTATAATTAAATTTCAACTAAACATTATTGTTTTAAAAAACCAACAGCAATAATAACATCCATTTTTTGAGCCCTTACTGAGTGCTTTACATGCATGATGTCTTTTAACTTGCACAAGAGTCCTGTTAGCCTTCTCCACAGAATAGATGAGGAAACTGGAGGTAAGACCTGCAGTAACTTGTAAAATACAATGGCTGAGATAACACACTAGGTCTCTTCGTCTCCAAAGCCCGTGCTGGTAGCCCCTGTGCTATCAGAGTGTCACTTATGTCCTGTGTCTCTTTCTTTTCTCATTTCTTTCCCAGGGAAGAATGTGTACATACAATGTGGAAATCTAGATCATAGATAACAGTCGTCTTACATCTTCAGAGCATGGTACAGCAGGAATAAAGGAGAAAGAAGCTGGAGTCAGTAGGAGTCAGGGAGAAAGTGTACAACATTCTGCTAAGAGGATGAGAGATGCACAGGAGAAGATGACACAATCTTTGGAGGAAGTTGGATTGCGCAGGTGTCAGCTCAGGATGCTGTTCACCATGATGCTTTAGGACATGTCTGAGGGACTTCCCTGCTGCACCTGACAGCACATAATTCTAAAAGGGCAGTGGAAAACTCTGAAACAGGAAGTGTTGATTTTATTTTTGCTCATGTGTATGCAATGAGGACTGGTGCAGGAATACTAAGAGCATAGTACACTGTGTTGAACCTTCTGACTTCCCAGAGGTGACCAATAAAATGTATCTTTGCCATAACCAAAGATAAATACCTTACAACTGTGTTTGTTAGCTAAAACATTGAGTGGAGTTGGGCTTTAAAATAAGGTACAACTTGCCAGGTGTGGTGGTTCGCACCTGTAGCCCCAGCTACTCAGGAGGCTGAGGTGGGAGGATCACTTAAGCCCTCCTGGGCTTCAAGTCCAGCCTGGGCAACCTAGCAAGACCCCGTCTCTAAAAAAAATAATAA